ACCACTTCACCATTTGCCACTGTATCCCCCGGCTTAGTAAGTGTTCAATTTAAAAATGCCTATTGAATCAATGAGTGAGCAAGTGAATGAAGAGAGTTAAGTTCAGTTTTTTTCTTTCAGGACAGGGTGAATGTGAGAAAACAACACCTTTCTTCATTTATGTATTTATTTTTTGAGTCAAGGTTTCACTCTGTCACCTAGGCTGGAGTGCAGTGGCACGATCATGGATCACCACAGCCTCAAACTCCTGGGCTCAGGTGATCCTCCTGCCTCAGCCTCACAAGTAGCTAGGACTACAGGCATGCACCACCACACACCTGACTAATTATTTTATTTTTGTAGAGATGAGTTCTCACTATATTGCCCAGACTGTTTTCGAACTTTTGGGCTCTAGTAATCCTCCTACCTCGGCCTCCCAAAGTGCTGGGATTACAGACATAAACCACCGCACCTGGTCTGCCTTTCTTCATTTAAAAACGTCTTTATTTACTTGAAGATAATTATTGAACTTTCTTTCCCACCTGAACAACCAGTTACGTTTCACTCACTACCAAATAAGCCCTAAAAATCATTTACTAATTCGGTTTAATGCAAGAAACCTCTACATGTTTAGATTCTAATTTACTACAACTGGCCTTTTAAAATAAAAAATTTAATGCTTTATCTCTGTTGACTAGAGTATTTTTAGACATGAAGTTGTTTATTCAAGAAGCATTTATTGACTTATGTCCACAGCCCAGTGCTGTGTACTAGGGCAGAGATTAGGGAAGGAAGGATCACCCATAGTCTCTGTTGCCCAGGAGTTTATCTAGATAGGAAACAAGATTACCATTGTGAAACATTAAATAGGCACAAATACAGAGCACTTTAAAATACATTCTCTCGTGTTGATCCTTACACGACCCTGCAAAATAAAACAAATATCATTTATCTATTTTTACATCTGAGAAAAACTGGCTCAGAGATGACATGATTTGCCAGATGATGCAATATAGATAGTGACAGACTGACACTTGAGCCCAGGTCTGTACCTTGCCAGATCGTGCCATGTCCCATTTACACACCCCATTACTCTTAAGGGCCAAGTGAAAGGCCAAGTGAAATACCATGAGTCCATTTGATGGGACATCACCTGGGAGAAACCTCCCCAAAATGCCCCAGAGGCAAGCAGTACTGCAATGAGGAATCCAGCTGGGCATCCCGTTTCTTGATAAATGTGGATCATTCCCATTTTGCTGGAGGGGAAGAGCATATCTCTCCTCTTGTTGGAAAAGGAAGAGCCACCTATTACAAGAAGTTTCCCGTCTCAATATGTGAACTACCCGGGTGCAGTGGCTCCTGCCTATAATCCCAGCACTTTGGGAGGCCGAGGTGAGAGCATTGCCTGAGCCCACGGGTTCAAGACCAGCCTGGGCAGCTTGGCGAGACCTCATCTCTACAATAAATTTTTAAAAATTAGCTGAGCGTGGTGGCGTGAACCTATAGTTCCAGCTACTTGGAAGGCTGAGGCGGAAGGATCACCTGAGCTCAGCAGGTCAAGGCTAAGTGTGCCACTGCACTCCAGCCTAGGTAACAGAGTGAGACTCCAACTCAAAAAAAAAAAAAAAGTGTGAACTAAAAATTCCGAATGACAATTTAGCAAGGCATGTGAGTTTTGGCTCTTTGCTCCAGTTTTGCTTTACATCAAATCAAAGAAATCTAGGTCCACATTAAGAAGAGTAAATTAACATTAGAGGGACCATTAGTTTGTTTACCCAGCATAAAATTATGTCCTCTGTAAACGGGAATATCAAATAGCATAAAAAGCCTCGGTGATTTACATTTTCTTTTTGATTAGAGCATTGCATCTACTGTACTCAAGGAAGGAAAATCTCTCCCATTTAGCTTTTGAAGATCAAAGAGGCCATTAAATATGCCATATTACCAGCATTTTTTTCCCCTTTTTTTTTCTTTTTGGTTGACTAGGGGGTGTTTTACAAATTGAGACTGGCATGAGGAAAAGGGAGGACTTTATTTGGGGTCATATGAACTGATTATGAACTAGTTTACTTCCTTCAGGCAGGACCATATGCTTAACCTTTTATTCAAATAGGGCTTTCCTGCAGCTTCAAGTGCCCTCTGACCTGCCCACTGAGTTTTGTGTTCATAGACCTGACAACCAAGAAACGGACTTTTTCTGTGAGTCATGGTCTGGTCTGACGCTAAGCCTTGGGGATCTTTCTGTAGTACGTCTGATACAATCTACGAAGACAAAATCGAGTGAAATGCATACTGAAAAGAAGGATGAAACTTGTTGGTATTCAGTTAGAATAAAATCTTGTTTTCCCCCCAAAAGGAGCAGACTAAAGCAAATGTTGTCTGTGCAACAATTCATATTTCTCCTTCTAGATAAATAGCCCATCGTATATGCAGTCATGTGTTGGTTAACGACAGGGATATGTTCTGAGAAATGTGTTGGGTGATTTCATCACTGTGTGAACACTGTAGAGTGTACCTACATAAACCGAATGAAATAGCTCACCTTACACCTAGTCTGTATGGTATAGCTTACTGCTCCTGGGCTAAACACGTGTACAATATGTTGTTATACTGAATGCTGTAAGCAGTTGTAACACAATGAAAAGTTTTTTTGTTTTTTTTTTTGAGTTGGAGTCTCACTCCGTCACCCAGACGGGAGTGCCGTGGCCACTCCCAGCCACTGCAGCCTCGACCTGCTGGGCTCCAGCGATCCTTCCGCCTCAGCCTTCCAAGTAGCTGGAACTACAGGTGTGCGCTACCACACCCAGCTAATTTTTGATTTCTTGTACAGATGAGGTCTCGCCAAGCTGCTCCGGGCGGGTCTCGAACCCTCAGGCTCAGGCAATCCATTCACCTCAGCCTCCCAAAGGCGTGGGATTACAGGCTGAGCCACCAAGCCCGGCTGAAAAGTTTTTTTTTGTTTCTTTTTACAACGAAAAGTTATTTGTCTAACTAAACGTAAAAAAGGCAGGCAGCCAGGCGCTATATAATCCCAGCAGTTTAGGAGACCAAGGTGAGAGAATTGCCTGAGCCCGCAGGTTCGAGACCAGCTCGGGCAATTTGGTAATTCCTCATCACTACAATAAATCAAAAAATTAGCCAGGCGTGGTGGCGCGTGCCTGTAGTTCCAGCTACTTGGAAAGGATCACCTGAACCCCATAGGTTGAGGCTGTGGTGACCATGAGTATGCCACTGCACTCCTGCCTGGGTGACAGAGTAGGAGTCCGACTCAAAAAAAAAAAAAAAAAAGGAAGAGTAAAAACACAGTATAAGTAATAGAAAATAGTACACGTGTACAGGACACTTGCCATGAATGGAGCCTGCAAGACTGGAAGTTGCATGGGGTAAGTCTGTGAGGGGTGATTAATGTGAAGACTTAGGACATGACAGAACACGACCGTGGACTTCATAGACACCCTAAACTTAGGCTTCTCTAAACTTACTTTAAAATATATTTCTCCAGTAATAAATTAACCTTAACTTACTGTAACCTTTTTACTTTTTAAGCTTCACAACTTTTCACTCTTTTTTTTTTTTTAAGTGAGAAAGTAGAATGTATTGAGAGGACAAAAAAGCTAAGCTCCTACGGTGAGAGAGGGGACCCAAAGGGGTTGCCTGACTTTTTAACTCTTTTAAAACACAGCTTAAAACGCAAACAATGCACAGCTGTACAAAAATGCTTTCTTTATATCTTTATTCTATAAGCTTTTTCCTATTTTTAAGTTTTTTTTCCTTTTTATTTATTTTTCCTTTTTATTTATTATTTATTTTTGAGCTGGAATCTCACTCTGTTGCCCAGGCTGGAGGGCAGTGGCACGCTCATGGCCATCACAGCCTCAACCTGCTGGGCTCAGGCGATCCTTCTGCTTCAGCCTTCTAAGTAGCTGGAACTACAGGCGTGTACCACCATGCCTGGCTGATTTTTGATTTATTGTAGAGATGAGATCTCGCCAAGTTTCCCAGTCTGGTCTCGAACCCATAGGCTCAAGCAGTCTTCTCACCTTGCCCTCCCAAAGTGCTGGGATTATAGGTGTGAGCCACCACGCCTGGCCTTTTTTTTTTCCTTTTTAAAATTTTTTGTTAAAAACTGAGACTTAAACACACACATTAACCTAGGCCTACACAGTATCAGTTCACTACCTCTACGTCTTGCTCCATCTGAAGGTTTTCAGGTGCAATAACACGTGTGGAGCTGTCACTGCCTATAATAACAGTGCCTCCTTCTGAAATACCTCCCGAAGGAGTTGCCCGGGGCTGTTTTACAGCTAACTTTTTTTTTAATAAGTAGAAGGATCACATTCTAAAATAATAAAAATTATAATATATTAAATATATAAACCAGTAGCAGTTTTGATTCTCATTATCAAGTATTTTGTACTGTACATAATTTTATGTTATGCTTTTATACAACCATCAGGGCAGTAGGTTTGGTTACACCAGAATCACCACAAACATGTGAGCAATGTATTGTACTAGGATGTGTAAAGGGCTAAGATGTCACTGGCATTTGCCTTCAGCTCCATTACAATCTTATGGAATCTCTGTCATATATACAGCTTTTCTTTGGGAAAACTTTGTTATTCGGCGCGTGGCTGTATTACCAGCTAAAGCATGAAATGCAATTTTATCTTCACCAGCCAAAATACTCACTGGTGGTGTGTATGAGTAATTGCAACCTTTGAACCACAGTGATTCATTGGTTTAACATCACAGACATCTGTGATGTTTTCCTACTGTTTTCTGGCGTTTGGAAATGAACTATTTTTATTTCAATGAGCTTAGGTAGTTAAGACCTTTTTGCCCTTTATGTGCAGTATTTGGAACTAATTTAAGCCTTGGATCTATCTTTAACATATAGATAGTAAAAAGAAAATTATAGGAGAAAGATTGAGATTAATTTCAAACGAAATGATCAGCTGAATATTATAATGAGAGAATGTATTTTGATTAAGAACCTGCCATTTCTGTTCTGCTTTAAGCAGCCAACAACCAATAGAAGACAAATATTCAGACCTCCGATATGACCCAGACTGGAGGAATAAGAAAGAGGAAAGGCCATTGTTGACTGTGGAAGCATCCCTGGAGTCTGCAGACAGCTCTTCAGAAAATCTGCCACTGGAACCACTCTACCCTTCCAAGGAGACTTCAATGGAACTCCCAGGAGGAAAAGGCAAACAGAAAAAGAGTCCACGGAGTGTAACCTCCTTGCTTGGTAGTGAGTTTTTAAGCCCAGACTATGAGCAACGTGCCCATCACAGTGAGCCACTTTCAGAGCTCAGTGACAGTGACCGGGGGGAGAAGTCAAGCAACCTCTCTCCCTACGCTAAGAGTTCAAGTTCACATAACGAGGTTTTCCTGCCGGGATCACGCAGCCCTCGCCGAAGGAAGTCTAAACCATATTTTGTGGAAAAAAACAAATTGACTTTGGGATTACCCACTCCTAAAGCAGACTCTTATCTTCAACTTCACAATAAAAAAAGAGGGGAAACTCACCTAGAGCAGGTATGTAGTGGCTACTTAATTATTTCTTCTGAAACGCTAAACTGGAACTTGCATGTATTTGAAATGGCTAGATTCCATTTTCCTTGGGATGATGATGTCATTATAACCATCTGGCTGGGTAAAACAAATGGTTCCATACTACACCCTACATGTTTTCCTTCTTGTAGAATGAGGGGAATTATTCCACAAATTCTTACGAGCAAAATAAAAGCCATCAATGGTTTACAGAGCTGTAACTGCTGTAAGGCAACTGTTATATCAAAAATTTCTAGCCGGGCTTGGTGGCTCAGCCTGTAATCCCGCACCTTTGGGAGGCTGAGGTGAGTGGATTGCCTGAGCCCGCGGGTTCAAGACCCGCCTGGGCAGCGAGACCTCATCTCTACAATAAATCAAAAAATCAGCCGGGCGTGGTAGCGCATGTCTGTAATTCCAGCTACTCGGAAGGCTGAGGCGGAAGGATCGCCAGAGCCCAGCAGGTCGAGGCTGCGGTGGCCGGGAGCAGCCACTGCACTCCAGTCTGGGCGACAGAGTGAGACTCCAACTCAAAAAAAAAAAAATTTCTTCATTCAAGAAACCACAGAATTTTTAAAAACTGTCTACCAAAAGATTAAATACAGAACTGAGTGTTTGGTTTTCCATATTGATTTCCTTTGTTTCCACCATAGCATTGATTTTCACCCCTACTAAATGCCCTTAAGCTTGGAGTTAACATGACACATATCAATAGCCACAGCTCACATACAAAAGTGAATGTCAACTCTGATTCTGTATATGTGGGGTGGTTGTCGGGGGGGAGGGACAGGGTATAACATAAGGCATTTAAAGCAATCCTTCAGATGATTCTATTACCTTTCAACTCCTATTGATAATCACTACACCATCCTTTATTGCCCTGTGCAAATGATATGATATGATTAAAACTTAATCTCAGCTGGGCTCGGTGGCTTAGCCTGTAATCCCACGCTTTCAGAGGCCAAGTTAAATGGATTGCCTGAGCCCATGGGATCGAGACCCGCCTGGGCAGTTTGGCGAGACCTCATCTCTATAATAAATCAAAAAATTAGCCGGGCATGGTGGCGCGCGCCTG